TTTTGTACTTCTAATTAGTGACCGTTGTTTTGTTTTGATCTCTCCGCTGCGTTTCCGCGCGCGTCACTTCTGAGCGGCACATGCGCAACGCCGACCTCATGCGTCATTCCCCCGGAGCTGCTTCCGTTTACAACAGTGAGCGCAAGCTAGATTCAAGTGATTATTACGTTTTGAATATGGATATTTTTCTTACAAAAACGCATCGATTCGCTACAGGATGCCTTTGTTCACCCCCCGGAGCCGTGTGAGACACTTTTTTTTAATGGATGGGTGCTTTTTTATTTCACTTCTTTTGGACTGAAGCACTGCAACACCCGCTGAGTGCCATTAAACAGCTTGAAAGATCAAAGACAATTTTTAATATAACTCCGACTGGATTCGTCTGAAAGAAGAAAGTCATATACACACACCTAGGATTGAGGGTGAGTAATTTATGGGCTAATTTTCATTTTTGGGTGAACTAACCCTTTAATTCTGAAACTATGAAGGCAGATATAATCTTTTTTTTTTTTTGGACTGCACTTTAATTTTTTCCTGTTTTGCTCTCTCAAATTGTCGTTTAAAATTCTCGCTTCCAAATCCAAACGTTACACTCAGAACAGGGTGAGTTTAGGGTTTGATGTCTCCATTGGGACCCTATTTCTAGATTGACAGTTCTTTCTAGCCAATAAATTATGTGGCATCACTACTACGCAATGTTGGCTTCCTGCTCAGTGATCACTTGAACGGGTGAATGTGGAGCTGGCAGATATCAGATTATACCGCATATTTTGATCTGCTCCCCACAGCCACAGGTCACCCACATCTGTTCACTGACCATCTGATTCTGCAAACGTCAACCACACTAACTGCAACACAGTCAGTAATGATCTTACCATTTTTCTTGTTGTTGGTTTACACAATGCTGCATCCATTCTGCCTTCCTCCTGGGTGTTGACTGCATTAACAATAATACACAGATATGTTAAAACAACGAAGCTTTATAAATATATATATATTTATATATACATACATACATATATGTGTATGTATGTGTGTATGTATATGTTTCAAATACATTAATTGTAATTAATGTTTGTACTTAGTAATAGGGTATATGTCGAACATCACCTGACCAAACCCGGAAAACAGGTCTCATT